CATTGTCTTCAAATTCTGCATGTCCTTTGCAGAGGAGATACCATTATTCCTTGAATAAGATTATTCCTAACAAAAAAAAAAAATCTTCGAATGAAAATGCAGTTTTAAAAAATGTAAATTTTACATACAAGATTATTTCACGTACCAGGAAGGATGAAAGCTGCTGTGTCTTTTTTTCCGTGTATTTATGCATTTAATGAGGTGGTTTCATAGATCCAAAAGAAATGTAGATACCAAATTTCCAATTTAGCTAAAATACAGCACTCATCTGCAATGCTTACCTTTCTCTTGCACTGGTGTTTCTGACAATCACGTATTTTTGCACATTTTGTTTCACAGAGGTATGGCTTATGGCAGGGCATCTGCTTCATATGCTTTCCACAACGACATTGCTTTTCAACTTCCTGTTAAGGTACAGATGGAAAGACACTAAAGCTGGCATACATTATGTATGTCAAAATCAAGTTACTTACCTGATAATAAACTGGATGATCTATAAATAGAAGCCTTTAGAGAAAAAAGGAGCAGATTAAAAGCACAACTGAAAAAAACTAAATCTACATAGATAATTAAATCATAACATGTTGTGATAAGGGATCCTCCAAAATTATTTCACTGATTTTTTTTTAATTGAAATTTATTGGCCACCCAACTCGAGTGGACTCTGGGTGGCATACAAAATTAAAAAAACACAAAAACAGCAAGAAACATTAAATTAACAGCAGCCCAGACTACAATACTCTACTAACAAAACCCACGAAACAAAGCAGGGGCCATTAAACAATGACAAACGTCAGCACCAGGCCTGGGACCAGAGCCAGCTTTGCAAGGCTTTCCAGACCCCCAGGAGAAAGGGCACCATCCTTATCTCTGGAGGGGCTGCTGTTCCAGAGGGTGGGAGCCGCAACAGAGAAGGCCCACTTTCTAGGTCCCACAAGATGGCAGTATTTAATAGAGGGGACCAGGAGTGCACCCACTCTGCTGAACACACTGGGTGGGCAGAAATGGTTGGAGATAAGCAGTCTCTCAGATATCCAGGGCCTCTGCCACACAGGGCTTCACAGGTAACAACCAGCAACTTAAATTGCACTAGGAAGCTGACTGGCAACTAACACATCTCGTGTAGCAGTGGTGATGCAGGGGCATACCGAGAGGTGCCCATTACTGCTTGCGCCACTGCATTTTGAACCAGCTACAGCTTCTGGGTGGTCTTCAAGGGCAGCCCCATGTAGAGTACATTGCAATAATCCAAGTGTGAGGTGACCAGGGCATGAGTGACTGTCTGAAGGGCCTCCTGATTGAGGAAAGGGCTCAACTGGCGCACAAGATGATCCTGTGCAAAGGCCCTCCTGGCTGCAGCTGCTACCTGCTCTTCAAGCAGTAGCTGCAAGTCCAGAAGGACCCCCAAGTTGTGCACCAGTCTTGACTGGAGAAGTGCAATCCCATCCAAGACCAAGGATGGTGACATCCCCAACCTAGGGGGTCCAAAGAGCCATAGCCAGTCAGTCTTGTTACCCTATCCAGACCCGAACAGCCTCCAGACACTGGGTCAAGACACTGACAGCTTCACATGTGCCATTCAGGATTGAGATGTAGAGCTGGGTATCATCAGCATACTGATGATACCATGCCCTGAACTGGCGGATGACCTCACCCAGTGGTTTCATGTTTCACGTAGATGTTGAACAGGAGAGGGGAGAGCATCAAGCCTTGAAGTACCCCATACATGATGTAGCTTATACAAAGGCACAGAAATAATCAGGATTGCAACAACAGTTCAGATTCCCAGAAAAGTAAGAAATTAATTCAGCTACCTACTTGGAACAAACATTTATTTCTAATAGATACAGAAGTTATGTTTTTCAGCCATTTACAAGGATTTCAGAAGAACTAAGATTTGGTTATGTATTCCTGAGATCAAAAAGATGGACACACATGAATAATGTTGGCTGGAGAGCTGTTAACATGTAATGGCATGTAAAGTGACAAATTTACAATGTGTAGACACAAACTGAAATTTAGGATGGACTATTGCTAGCCTGTAAACTGTTTTCATTGATATTCTGGATTTAATCTAATAAGGAAGTTCAGCTTTTCTGTACATTGGAAATGGATGCACTTGTGTTTGAATCCATTGTGAGTTTATAATTCATGATCTAGTTAATTATGCTCCATAAATAATTATTTCTGAAATAAGTGGGTGATCTGTTAATGCCTTTTTTCTCTCCACATTCTCTTAACTTTCTTCCCCATCTTCCTTTAATGGAGGCACCCAGTTAATTATTGATTTACGTCAATATAGCACTTCTCAACCACCTCACCTTTGAAATAACCTCCCAGTTACCTATTTGTGATTTTTCAATAGAATTATTTCTTGGAAAAGCAAGTACAGGTAGTCCTTGCTATCCAACCACAATAGGCACTGGAATTTAGGTCACTAAGTGCTTTGGTCATTAAGCGAATTGGAGTTGATTTTACAATCTTTTTATGACGGCAGTTAAACCAATCACCATGGCCATTAAGTGAATCACGTGATCATTAAGCGAATCCAGCTTCTGCAATGGACTTTTTTGCTGGAATTCACTTAACGACCACGTGATTTGCTTAATGACATGGTGATTCACTTAACAACCATTGTAAAAAAGGTCACAAATCATAATCACGTGACTGTGGGGGTTGTAAAGCAGTTTTCTGAAGGCCGTTGTAAATCTGGACCGTCGTTAAACAAATGGTTGTTAAGCGTGGACTACCTGTAGCTTGCTAGGATCCTTTTTTCCTGATTGTGATCCAGTTATTCACACACTGTTCCTGTGTCATTCAATATGAATGTTACTATTTGGATCAGCTTCATTTAAATATGCTCCTACACATTTCCCCAAGCCATTTTTCACAGTAACAGAATAACTACAAGTGCGTTATCTTGGTTTTGAACAAAAGAAACCAGAAACTACAAGATGCGGAAGACCGCTTGACTGAAGTTTTTGGACTCAATGAGATAAGGGGCTAGGAAAAGGAAAAAGAATTTAGTGCCTCAGGAAAATACACTGAAACAGAATATTCAGAAGGCCTGAAACAATGCTCGACTATTCAAAAGGACATAAACTGAAAGAAAAATGCTAACCTGTCTACAAATTTCGCAAGCACCTCGATGGCAGCGCTGTGAACATCTATGAATCTCACATTCGAGAACTTTGTCACAACTATCTCCACAGGTAGGCACATCTTCAGTACACGGCAAAGAAAATTCTAAAATAAAAGTCAAATTGAAACTATACAAATTGCTGCCATTTAATATACAAATGAAAATGCAAGGTTATATTTTCAAGTAATTTCACATTTATCTAAAAAATGTATTGCTTCAAAACATGGAGTTAAATTGAAAATCTTAATTTTTACAACTATGATCAAATGTAACTGAATCTAAGCGGAAGTGTTGGACATAATTTACAGCAACTTTTCAATAACCCAGTATTTTGTAGACTTTTAACTGCTGCAATTTTTCTCTATTTAGCTTGTTCTTTATGCAATTTGAATTACAACTGTTTTAGGAAAATTGTATTAATTAAATGACTTAATGGTGAATAAAAAGATGGCAGAGAAGGAAACACTTACTTGATTTTCCACACGGACAAGACCTTTTCCCAGACCTGGGACATTCTCCACAGAAACCACTGTGACAAATCTGTTCACAGACATGATAGCCACAAGACAAGGTTCTGCCACAAACCTTTTGAGAAAATACACATAGCAATTTCAGATAAGGAACTTAGAAACTTCTCAAACATAATTCAACGAAATACAAGAAAAAGCAAGTTCTCCAAATAAGTTAATACATAAACAACTAAAATACAGAAATAAATTATTTAAAGCTCCATAGCATGATCTGATCTTCTACTAATGTTCTAGACCATAGCTTCTATAAACCCCAGTCAGTATAAACAATTCTCCAGTAGGAAATTGATGGGTTCCAAAATATCTGAAGGAACCTGTCCTATATCATGGAATAAAAAACAGACGGGAAAGCTCTAGTTCTCAAGATGTGTTGTTGGATAACATCTCCCAATATCACCAATCATTGGCCTTTATAGCTAGGGCTAATGGAACAGGAGTCCAATGACGTTTAGAGGCTTACCCACTCCTCACCCCTGGATTAAAGTTTTCCTAGAGTTATATCCTTTGTTTCTAGCTGAATAAAGTTTGGGGATTTATTCTTTTGATCACTTCATGTTTCAAACACAGGCCAACTGAATTTGACTCTTTCAGTACAGAAACTGTCTACAATTGATACTATACCTAGGAAAATTCTCATCGCTATAATGGCTGAAGAAGGAAAGGTCTGCAGATGGGAGATAATTTCAAATTCACTGCACATATGTGTCTGCAAGCCGCACTGCAATTGTTATACTGAGTTCCTGCACATCTGAACTGGGGCAAAGGTTTTTTTTCCTACTTCAATCTTAAAATCCTTGTTGGTAATGGTAATCCACATTTTTTCCCGGACAATGAAGTATGGGAGTTAAGTAGTTATAATACGTAATATTATTGTAAACAAATCTGTTATTTATACAGAAACTTACCTCATCACATTGCCATAAAGGACTTGCACACTGCCTTTCTGCTATTTGTTTACCACAGACACAACTTTGTTTACTGACTCTTGGACATGGTTGGCAATCTCCTAAAAGTAAGATGGAGCTAATGATTAGAAAACAGCATGGAAAGAGAACATTTTAAATATTTGCCCATTGATGAGATAGGGGAGAGGGAAAAACTCCTTAATAGAGATTTTATTTATTTATTTATTTGATTTGTAAGCCACAAAATCTATTCAGAACCCAAAGAAACAAGAGAACTGCAATGTAATATAACGGGGAATTATGCAAACAAAGTCTTTGAACAGTACAATTTGCACCTGGATGACAAGGATTTCCACAGTTGTGCTGCCCACATGGCAATTTTCGTCCACAGGGGAGTTGACACGACCATTCTTTCATACTGCATCTCCGTGGCACCGGCTTAGCCTTTTTGCAGTAGCAAGTTATTGTGACCATCTTTGGGCAAGGTGGACAAGGGCCTAGAGAGCCAAAGACAACATCAAGAAATTCATATATTAATACAATTGAAACCTCAATAATGGGCCAAAATTCCAGTGTACACGAACACTGGAAATAACAGACAAGTCTACTAGTCCAGATGAGGCAATTTTACATCATGACATCATTTGCAGTATGAGATCACCCACAAATAACATCGCTTACAAATAATGTAAATAGCCACGACTGATGTTATTTGCAATTTAACATCAAATGCTCCATGCACCACCACCCCTGGCTAACTTGAGCTGCCTAGACGCTGCTTTATAAATCACCAGAACAGACAAAAGAAATCCGCAGCAGGCCAAAAGATTCATTATAACTCACCCTAGCCTGCATAATTGTTACAGATGAATTCTTTCATTTTTTATCCTCATGTATTACCTTGGTCTCAATATCATTTTGTCGCATATATGACATAAAATTTATTTTTATTTTTATTTATATATCAAATTTGTCACTGCCCTTCTCATTGAAACAACTCTGGGCAGTTTACAGATCAATTAAAATCAATTAAAATTACAATATACAGTAATCTTAAATAAATAGAAAATAAACAGATCCAAGGATAGATGAATGGTCCTCAAGTGACTATAATCTCAAAACTCTCACTTACTGATCACTTTTCATGTTACCTGCTGCAAAAGGCATACAATCCTGATAGCTTACAAACAACTGCCATAATATTACGTACCTGGGTGACAAAGTAACAGGCACCTGTGTCCACAAGGAGGTTTGAAATCTCTCTCACAGACCTGGCCACAAGAATGTGGAACCAGCCAGGGGTCCAGAGGGGGATCCTCAGTCTTCCCACAATAGCAGTAGTATCGAGTGGGAATCTCAGATCGCTTGTATTCAAACCTGCATTTTGGACTGAAAAGGGAAAAATTAATGCCACACTCAGTAACACTTGGTTCCCACTGAATCTGCTCTAATGGGCCCATTTGAAAGATGATGTGACAGGGAGAAGGAGGGGAATGGATTCTGTTGATAATTGCCATTCTATAAACGGATGGACATCACTAAACACATTTATTTTTGGTTCTCCTAAAATAAATTACAGAGGCCTTTCTATGTTCCATTCCCTTTAATGATTAGTTCAATTTGTATTAAAAAACACACACATCAGAAACAGAATCCATTTATGCATTTTAAACAGTGGAAAAGAATTCCCACTGAACATTTATGTGTGGTTTTGGATGTGCATACCTGCACACCCAGGACCTAACTTCTATCTATTTTCTCAGGTTTATAAAACTGTTGCCTCTATATTTTTTATAAGGAAAGAAAAAAAAAGTGGCCATGGAAGCACATTCTTGAAAATCTTTTTAATGTTTACCTTGCAGCTCTGTTATATGCAAGTATAACAATTCTTTTCCACTGTTTAAAATGCATAAATGGATTCTGTTTCTGATGTGTGTGTTTTTTAATACAAATTGAACTAATCATTAAAGGGAATGGAACATAGAAAGGCCTCTGAAAAGTTATATCTATGATGAACAGAACTGAAATGGGTGGAGAACTAATTGGGATTACAAAGCACCCTTTTGCACATACAGACTTAATAGAAGTTTACAAAATAAACTTCGGTGCACAAAGGCTGTAGGTAAAAAAGTTCAAGTTCATATGCAGAAGAAGATGCAAGAGGGCAGCATAGCAACAAGGGTGGCAACGAAGAGAATATCAGCCTTTCTGTTCCTAGATACTGTTTTGCATTGTTGTATTTGTCACATCCAGCAAGTTTGAAGCCATACAGTCTGAAGTTCACTTACCAAAGGCTTTCCATGATGGATGTGAAGCAGTATATGATGGATATAAGCAGTAAACTAAATTCAGGTCAACACTAGCTAACAAAGAAACTCACAGATTACGGTCGTGCCAAATATAAGCATTTTCAAGTTCCAACAATTTTGAATGGAAAGCTAAGAATGTGCACAACTTTGGCTGAATTGGAGTCCTGGTGAAAATATTGCAGGGGTGATATTCTTAACTTACACAATATTCAAGTTGCATTAGTTTAGCTAAGCATACTTCAAAGTGAAGTAAATTTTATCAGTCGCGGGGGGTTACACTGAAGGTAAAATTACAGCATATACAAAACAAGCTTCTGGCTACACCTGCTCTTCTTTTCAAAGCTATTGCTCAATTTTTTTTCCAGTACGTAAACCAGCTTTCAGAACAAAATCTTCAAAGCCTACCATGGCCACGGATAATCCTTTTTTCCAAACTCATCATCTGTCAAAGGAGAAGATACTAAGAAAAGGCTATCCTTCGCCCACTTCTGTATGCATGGCATGTGAAATATGCAGAAACATCCAGAACAACTCCAGACCTTGAAGAAAGACAAGGATATGTCAGAAGCTCTTCTTACTAATGTGTTGATCTGGCAAATACAATTTAATTCTTAAAAACAAAAGAAAATAAGAAAAGATTGTGCCTATGTCTGATGTGAAATTCCTGGTTGTTTCACTGCCTAGGGCAACCACTAAATTAACTTTGTTTATCTTCACCTTTTGACAACATAGCATTTCGTGGCTAGAGATGTCTTAGCCATAAATTAATAACAAGTATAGCTTTATTTTTTCCCAAAAGTTTCTATCTCTACTTGTGTTTAACAAGGTATTTTAATACAAAGCAAAATGCACCCATATTCCGTAAGTACTTAAAATAACAAATTTCAGATACAAATGACATACTGTAGTATTTATAAAAGCTTTCCTTAAAATTTTTATGATCCTATTGGTAAAGAATTTGGCCAGCCTCCAACAGGAATCATAACTATAAGACTGTCGTGGACAAAACCGAGCCATATACCAATATGATAAACCGTAAAGTCTCCCTTAGGTTGACTCAACTCACATTGACTTCATGGACACATTCAAGTTGTTTCTTGGCAATACAAAATTCATTTGCCATTGGCTTCTTACAGGATGTTTTTTCAACTCTCCTGTCTAATGTCCAGACTGGTGATCTTCCATCTAAATCCATCTAATTTGTAGCCTTAACTTTTTCAAGGTCAGCCTATGTCAGGCTAGACTAAGCTTCATAAAATACAAAGGCAGCAGTCAAAGCTTGACAATAGCACCAAGCGCTGAGATAGATTTATGCATCTTGCAGAGACAGGTCAGAGGTTTTAAAAAGGATCATTTTACTTTTGGAATAGGTAAATTCAAACATAGCAATATTCTGAAATACTGAAAATTCCCCCAAATAATTATAACAGACATGGACAGGTTGAATGTGGGGACACAAAATGACAAATGGTTGTTATAAAGAAATCTATTCGCTCAGGTTGATACATCCAACCACAACAGAAATGGGAAAAGAGAGACTTTTGTGTCATTTTCTAAATACACTGACTGGAGATTCCAAAGGCAGAATCACAAATAAGCATCTTGATATGCTGTCTGTTTCAGGAAGCCAAGGATATTTCAAGAGAGTAGTAAATACGGATTGGGGAAAAGATAATGCAGCAATATGCACAGACTTACTGCTTGATTTCTCTTAATTGAAGCAATGCAAATCAGACACGTCAGCGCCCCAGACTGAAAGGCATCGTTCATATACTGCTTTGTGCGCTCCAACTCACTTGCATCTCCATCTGTGAATAGAAAAAGATTATTTATGACAAAACTTTTATTACGTTGGAGGATCAAGGCAGAGGGGTAATCAAGACCTTCTTTTAGAGTTCCGTGTTAGTCATTTCCAGGGTATACCGTATGGTAGTTGCCTCTGCCTCTAAGGGGTGGGAGCTGAAGAATGACAAAATCACCTGTGTTCTTTTCAAGCTTCTATCACACTGAGTGTTAAATATTTATTTCTCCTACATTTTAATCAATTCTGTAGAATTACTACATTGATTACTAGCCAATGCTAAGAGAAGCGGGGCTCATGCTGCTGCCAAATTCTTTTGTTCAGTTACAAAGATTTGTAAGGAGATGTCTCAGTTAACGCCTTTATTTTCTCTAACACGGAGGTATGAGAACATTGTTCTCTATCTTCAACTCATCAGTCCTATGAAGTAGAATATGATCTTAGCTTCATCTAAGTCCTAAAAAAATTCTGAGTAAATGAGCAACACACAAAACAATGCACTGCATTATGTCTTTATTGAGCTAACATTCACTGTCTTCGTTAGTAAAAGGATGCGAAGCTTTAGATTTAGCAGCACTAGCAAATCCTTTAACAGCAGTGATTTAAGCCAAATGTCTGCCTGATCCATTATGCCCATCCACTTGTATTTTTGTCCAGTCCTCTTTACAGAACTGTTCAATTCATTAATATTTCAAGGTTGTTTTGCATGGCCTATTTGTTTCAAGTCATGCCACATTTCAGTTGGGTCAAGATCAGCTCTTTGTCTCAGCCATTCCAAAATGTGAAATTTCTTCTGCTCCAGCCATTCTATTATAGAGTTACTTGTGTGTTTAGGATCATTCTCATGGTGCAGATTCATTTAAGCTTCACTTCATGGACATTCCCTCATAGAATTTGCTGGTATAATCTGGAAATCACTGTTCCCTAAATGAAAAAGAGCTATCCATGTCCAAAGGCTGGAAAGCAGCCCCAAACCATGATATTCCAACCACCATGCTACATGGTCGGGATGAGGGTCTTTTGCTGAAATGGAGTGTTTTGTTCTAATAGCCATCTGGATTATCCAGGTGATATCTGGCAAACTTGAGAGGGATGGCAATGTATTATTCTGGACAGCAGTGGTTGCTTCCCTCACATCATTTCATGAATACAACTTTTATTCAATGTTTTCATAATGTCAGAATCATGAACACTGACATCTAACATTGCAAGAGTGGCCTGCAGATCCTTTGCCTTTATCTTGGGGTTGTTTGAAGCCTCTCTGTAAACTGTGAGCCTTGCTTTGGGGGGAAATTTTCTTTGACAATCACTCCTAGGAAAAGTAATGATACCACTGCATATTTTCTGCCTGACTGTAAAATGACAAAGGCCGTTTTTTTTTGCAAAGATTTTGTAGCCTTTTGTGTCTCGTGTATTGATAACCCTTTTCCTGAAGTCTACAGACATCTCTTTTGAGTGATCACGATACACTTCCCTAAGCCTTTGCGCTGAAGAGCAAATTTCAATCTCATTGACAGGAGCAGCAGCCTCAACTTAGCATCTTAAGGGAGCAGATTATCCCAAGATTTCACATACTTTTTCCAAAACAGACAGCAAAGGTTGACTCAATATGTTTAGCATTCTATGCTGTATGAACACAAGCAGTAGCTTTCCAGAATAAATCTAGAAAGGTAAGATTCTATCACAAAAGGAAATCAATATCCAAGCAACATTTCTAGTGCAACGGTAAGTTGTTCCTTAAAGTGAAAGCTGAGAAGCCAATATAGAAAAATTACCAGTCTGATTAGTATATTTTGTAAATGTTTTGGCCAATATTTGTCCATGCTTTCCTTCAATTTCTTCATCATCATCATCACCATCATCATCATCATCTTCAGATGAGGAGCTAAACTGATTTTCAATAAGTCTCTTAACTGCAGCTTGATTAGCCTTCTTAATTTCATCAAATTTTTTCTGTGATGCAAGCTCTGTTAAAAGAAAAACATAAAACTACACATCAGGAGAACCTAAAACAGTAATTAGGGTCATACAGTACAAGAACAATGATTTGTTCAGCTACACTGCTGCATGAATTACAGTGGCAATGCACATAAGTACACTAAGTCCAAACCAAACAACTGATGTAATGGCTTAGCATGGAATCTGAATCCAGACACTATTTTTTCAACATTAAGGCCAATGAACTAAAATACCATTTAGATATTTATCTACATAAAGATCGGAAACTTTAAAAAGAGCTTTTGATAAGAGCTTTTCTCCATATACAGTAATCTCAATTATCTTCAAGCATGCACGGCCAGGAAGATTAAGACTACTCTCTTCTCGGGGTTAGGTTTCCTGATTTCTTACTGCACGTCACTAACAACGCTCAAGATTCTAAAATCGGTCGTCTCTTCAGTAAGGAAGACAGGGAGCTTTTCACCATATACAGTAATCTCAATTATCTTCAAGCATGCACGGCCAGGAAGATTAAGACTACTCTCTTCTCGGGGTTAGAGCTTTTCACCATATACAGTAATCTCAATTATCTTCAAGCATGCACGGCCAGGAAGATTAAGACTACTCTCTTCTCGGGGTTAGGTTTCCTGATTTCTTACTGCACGTCACTAACAACGCTCAAGATTCTAAAATCGGTCGTCTCTTCAGTAAGGAAGACAGGTGTGAAATCAAGCGTGAAGGGAGCACAGTCAGTCAGTCAGTCAGTCAATAGCTTGAGTCCAGAATTTTAACTAAGCGCAATATAGAAAGACACG